TAGGAATGTTATCATAACCTGACGACTTTGATGAAGAAAGAGAAAGCACTATATCAGTAATAGTAGAAGCACAAGTGGTATGAAAGCTAAACTGATTATTCTGATTATTAACTCCTAACATACAATTATTTATAGTGCAGATACTGGGATGGTTTGAAAAACCCGTATATATACTTCATTGCTAGGCAAAGGGAAATTCTCACAAATACTAGTGAAATAATCATTAAATAATTTTGCAATAGTAGACTTATCAGTGATAAAGTCATTATTTTCTTGTAGAACAATGTCATTAGCTTGTCCTTTCTTAGAATGGAAAAGAGAACCAAAGAATTTCCAAAAATCTCAAGGGCCTTGCTGTATGGTCACAATATACTGCCATGGGAACAGTGTCGTCACATTTACCACGTATCTTTACGGAGTCATTCAGGCAAGAGCTCGACCTCTCCAGTGAGAATACAGGAAAATAGAGATCAATTACCTGGCCTATTGGAGCTACGATCTTCCAGGTTTTATTTGCATTATGAGGATAATTGTTGGGGTAGTTTGGACTTGAAAATTTTCCAGTTGTTGAGCTATTAATTAAGATAGGACTTGATGCACAAACGTCTGCAGATGTAACCTTGTACTCCAATACCAATGCCAGCACTAAAGATTAAAAAAACGTTGGTGAGATGATTAACCTCTCGATTCGCCAACCTACTAAGACCCCTTAAAGTCAAACGTTTTGATGCGTTTAGCCTTTCCGTTCCGTTGTATCCGCAAATATTTTTTTTCGGATACGAAAATGTTTGCGTCCACACGCAGCGTATTCGAATCGTTTTCACCGTCCACACGTATCCTTAAATTTCTTGGTCCGCCCTAATGCACGCTAGTGCCTAGTGCATTTGACGGATAGTTTTTCTTATTGAGCATGCTTAAAATCGTGTTTACGTGTAATTTGCGGATACGACCGTCCACACGTATCCGTATTCGGAGCGTATTCGAAAATTTCCACTCTTGAGACCGTTTTCGAAAATTTGCGAATAAGGATACAAAAAAAAATTTGCGGATCCAAAAATTTCCGGATACGTGTGGACGGGGCCTAAGTGGATACTTTTACGGACGACGTAAACGAATACTTTCGAAAACGATTAGAAAATTAAACGCTGACGTCACAAGGTCTGTTCTGGTCTAGTCTCCATAATTTAGTATCTAAGATGGCGTATAGTCGTGTGTTTGTTTGTTTGATGCTAGCGTTTCTTTCAAGCTTGATTGCAAGCATCCAACTTAATATTGTTCTTCTTAACATCCAGAAAAGTTATAACAGAACCAGGCTTAAAACCTTACAAGATTAACAACATCTCGCTTAAAAGTACAGTCTTATGAATCACGGACTTAAGAGTCACTGTGTTTACGATCGAATACATTTCACTAGTTTTATATTGCGTGTGTTATAATTTGAAATAAACATTTTTAACATTAAATAAATATTTTTATTGTTTTACCGTTTACGTGTGGACTAGGGAAAACGATTCTTAAACGGTGACCGTTTACGTGTGGACTGACAGGATTTGTTTACAAATGTATGCGTTTACGAATGAAAACGTATACGTGTGGACGGGGTCTAACCTACCAATCAATCAATCAACCGACCGACCGACCGACCGACCGACCGACCAACCAACCACTGAACCATATCCCTCCCTGATAAAATGCACAGTTAATGCTTTAATATTTCATATCTATCCATTTTATATCTATACATCCCGAATGAAAAGTATATTGTTTCTAAAAAATATGCACTTTTCTATGACTCAAAATTCTATCTCTGAATTTGAAGTTACTTTCGTATGCTATGAAGCTCACTTCAATTGGAATTTTTCAATTTACTTTCAATGCGGAATTAATTTCAAGACGTTTACCAAAACTACCCGAAGTTTCTTCAGCTTTGATAATACATTAAACATATTAATAATGTTAACAATCTTAACAATCTTACAGTCTTACGCTATCTTACACTAACACTTTTTTGGTGAGGAAAGAATTAAATGAAAGATCAATTGGTATAATTATTTGCACCCTAACCCTAACACACACACCCCCCAAATAACTATAAATATACATATCATTGGAACTTACCAAGTAGAAGGAAAGGAGCTAAAATTAATTTGCCTTCCATATTTTGTTTAATTATCGGTTACTCTGAAGGTTACTCTGAAGTTGTTTCTTGACAAAGTGAAAAGACGTCCAACTTCTGCTGCAAACTGTCCTTTCTGGCAGAACACAGCTTGTAAACAGGAAGATCAAACCTTTTAGAGTTGATTGGACAACTTATAATGAAGTCTTTCTATTGGTTGTTTTTAAGAACTTGAGATGGAGTCAATATTAAGTTCAAAAAAGGGAAAGGAATTTTAATTAACTAGGTTAAAAGTTGTCATTCTTTTGTTCAAGTTTATTACACCTTTTGCCGTTCATTAACAGAAAATGTACATTCATTTGTGCCAATAGTTGTATCAATAACGTGTAATGTACTTTCATCAACACCAGAAGTAACATCATTAGCGCGGATCAACTTTCAATAACGATAATTGAATATGCGTGTACATTCATAGGCATCAATGGACAATCAATAGCGCGTTCGTACATTCATATGCGCGGAATGTATTTCCTTGTGCGCGAAGTTCAACTTCAATAACACCAATTGACAGACAATTGCATTTATGGACAATCATTTACCCAAAAGTGAAAATTCATTAGTGCTATTAGCATAATCATTGACAATCTATAACGCGTTTGGACAATCATGAGGGTCAACGTTATATTCTATAGCGTGGTTCAACAAACATTTGCATGATTCGAATGAACAATATGAACATACTTGAGAAATGCCTTTATACGATCTATAGTTTAGATTTTGATGTTTTGATGACGTCATGTGAAAACCAGCAATTGACTCAATATTGTTTCTTTCCTGTTTGATATTTTATTAYAAAAATCTTTAAGGCTAGCTGTTTTTACTACGTTTTTTTAATATTTTAAGAAAAAAATCTTTATTTTTTTCTGTAATGTTTTCTTAATACTACTCTTTGATAATATATCTAGTTATAAATAATTATATTCCGGTCATGGCGCATGTATTATAAGTCATACGTTAACTCTTCCATGCAGTTTACTTTAATTTCAAATTAGAAAATAAAGCCTTTTTAAGATTTCATTTTCGTCAAAAAGCCAAGAAACTTTCTTTCTACAGGCTTCAAATGATTATATTTTGCAATACGCTCAACAAAATTACCCGATTATGATTGGACAAGAGGAGCACAATAGTTAAATCAAAAATTTTTTCTCTGTAGAGTCTCAATTACGTTGCTCAATTTTGTTGAGTGTATTAT